CATCAAGAACGCCGATTCATCCGGTAATGAACCAAGTACATCTTGAGCGAGTCATTGAATCTTTCATTTATAAATTACATGTGATTTTGTTTAGTTGTCTAATGTTTTTTCTTCAGAATCATGAAAGAACCACAACTTCCGTTGGGGGGGAAAAAAAGAAAAAAAAACCCTCAATTTATCCAGAATCACGCAGTTCTATTTTGCACACAAACAGCTCTTAAAGAGTCCAGTTTTTATGTAGCCTGTTGATTTTTGTTCATGGTATTCAGCTACAATAAATGGTTTGCAATAAAGAGACAAGATAAATGTTTGATATCATTATTTAATCACATTGGAATCGAAACTGGGAATCGAAAAGAATCGGAATCGATAAAATTCAAACGATACCCAACCCTAGATTTGTCTTTGTGATGTCTTGTCCTGTGCCTTCTTGGGAGCTAAGAATGTTTGAACGGCTGTGACCTGCCTAACTAGACAGCATTTTTGGAGCTGTCTAGGTAGTCATCTCACTAGGTTGTGAGATACAGCCAAAAAGGACCTTTCCTGCCGTCGGTTCTCTATGCGGTCTGCCTTGGGTGTGTGCCTGTGCATGTTTCTGTATGTCATTGTTATATGTGTGTTTGTGTTCTCTGTGAATGTTCAGTACACTGTGTGTGTGCGTGTGTGTTTAAATGTTTGAAATATGCGTGAATGTGTGTGTAGCTCTCCGCAGGCTGCTCCTTCCACTCTTGGATGTCGTTCCACACACAGCAGTCCAGTTCACAGTGCGAGCAGTCGTCTTTCTCAGGGCTTCTCCGTTTCTGTGCCAACACTGCTGTTCGCCGGTATGAAACCCAGACACAGGAGCTCAGAAGCCCCCAGAGCCAGGCAGTGTAGGCAGGTACCCCACGACCCCCATGACCCCGTCACGACTCTGCCACGGACCTGTCACCCCGTTCTTCATTGGCAGACAGCTATGACATCACCAGCCCCCCTCCCCTTCAGCTGCCAAAGCAACCTTGTTTTCAGCTTAAAAATGCCTCTGACCAATCAGTAAGCTGCATTCAGCTGTCACTCACAGAGTATATCCAATCAGAGGTGTCGGTTTGCTTCTGTGTTTATATTTTGTGCGTGTACGTACCTTTTGATTTTTTTTTTAGGCAGGATTGTTGAATTTTACATTTTGGCCTTGTGAAGGCATTAGTCGACCCTTGTTATCAAAGCGTTGTGCTTTGGTTGGCTGAAACACGCTTCTTGTTCATCTCATTTGCGGCCTGCCTCTTTTTTTGGTTTTCACAGTGTTTTTTTTTTTCCTCCATTTTTTTTTTTATCCCTGCCCGCTACCATAAAGTGCTTTGCTGTCTCTTCTTGACATCCTCACACGCTCTACCCTTTCAGCAGCAAGCAGTCAGCACTCTTTCTTTTTTTCTTTCTTACTCACAATCTCTTCCTCCACATCACACACACGCAAACATGCACATGTTCAAACACACACACACGGGCACAGTCCTCATGCATGACCCTGTGAGTCCGTGTGTGTTGATGGAGTGTGTTCCTCCTTGCTCTCACAGGCCAGGGTTTGGGGAGGAGGCCCCAGGTGTCCCGTTATCCTCAGGACCCCCCACCCCTCTGAGAGCACAAACCTTCTCCTCCTTCTCCCCCTCCAAGTCCTACAGTCGCCAGTCCTCCTCCTCTGACACCGAGCTCAGCCTAACCCCCAAAACCGGTAAGATACCCGACCCCACCTGACCTCTGACACTCTACCAGGCTCTCTCTCTCTATGGGCCTTGATTTTAATCAATAGCAGCACACTGACCCCAGTGTCAAGGCTGAGAGGCAGAGGGTCTAGGGCGCAGTGTCTCTGTTTATTTTGGTCTAGTTTTGTGTTTAATTAATTTATGTTTGTTGTGTTGCCCTTCCATTATTACTTTATCTGTGTGTGTGAGATGTTTATTTATATTTGACTCAAGGAGTGATCTCGTATTTTGTGCATTTGGAATCTGTGAAGAAAATGAACTCCACCATGCCTTCCATATGTGAATCAGCCCCTTCTAAAGGACATAAGTTCTTTAGAAGGGGCTGATTCTAAAGGACTTTAGTTCTGTTTTTTCATTTTTTGTTTCATGCCTCTTATTTTTCATTATCTTTCCAGGGATGCAAACTGCTTAGTTTTATTTAAAATCCTCTATGTGTTATAAAATAGGTCACTTATTCGGTTTCATCGTGAACCAAGGAGGTTTTTTCACTGCAAGGTTAAATTATTAAAGGGATAGTTCACCCAAAAATGGAAATTCTGTCATTATTTACCCTCGTTCATGTTGTTTTAAACCTATATGACTTTATTTTTCTACTATGGAACATAAAAAAAGATATTTTGAGAACTGTCTGAGTGTTTTTGTCCATACAATGGAAGTCGATGGGATCAGTGTTGTTTTGCTCCCAACGTTCTTCCAAATATCTTCTCAGCGTTCTTCAGAATAAAGTCATAGAGGTTTGGATTGAGGGTGAGTAAATGATGGCAGAATTGTAATTTTCTCTGAAGAGGTATTTTTGTGAAGTAGATTTAAGTTTAATATTTATCTGGACTTTAATGAAAATGCCAGAGTCTTTGCTTTTGCTAGCACAGATTGTCTGCATAAATGCATGTGCTGAGTACTTGAAAAGCAATATAAAGTGTGGCTTTTCCTTGAAGACACTCCGATTTACAGAAACCATATGATCAAGTTTGTTCAGCACTGTCAGTTTTATGCTTTTCATTGTTATAGTGACTTTGAAGAATGAAATGCTAATGTGCACAAGAAACATAAGAAACACTGAAATATTTGTTTTCATGTGTAAAATAGCAATAAACCCTATTTTACCTTTTCTACATATTTTAAATAAAAATCAAAAAGGAACCCCAGAGGGATAATCCACCAAAAAAATGAAAATGCTGTCATATATTTTTTACTCTTTTTCCATACAGCAACATGTTCATAGTGACCATGTCTGGTCAAGCTAAAAAAAAAAAAGTCACCATAAAGCACAATTTTTGTAGTCCATATGACTTGTGGCCAATATTCTGAAGTCATAAGGTTTTTAATCTGGAGCAGTTAATTGAGAATTCACCTCTGAAATGGATTAAGGAAGTCATTCTGACAGAAATGTCAGTTTTGGAAAAACTACAACTTATACCTTCAAAACCAACCTGCTGGAAATAAAACCCTTGGAAAACCATTTTATTTACCTCTCATCAGTTTGCATCCCCATCTGTTGTGTAGTTCAGTCACCCCTTATTTTTTTTCTCATGATGTCTTCATACCTGTCCTCCCCAAACTTCTCTCTCATTCTTTCTCTGTCAGTGGGGATATTTCTGTTTCCCAGTACTCCCGCCCTTGAATCTGAATCATCTCCCCTCCCCTCTGCCCATCTGCCCCATCACTTATGGCCAGGGATGGCCTCCAGGAGTACAACTCCTCCCCCACTCCGTCTCAGCCAATCAGACACAGCCATTCTGAGAAAGAGCGTGTCTTTCAGTGAGGAACTGCTGCTGGCGGCCTCTGGTAGGATACACCCACTGCTGTTCCCATGACCTTTGACCCTTGGTGCAGTGACTGCATCCAGTGTCACCACACCAACCCCTGTGCTGCCCCCTGGCAGAATATCATGCCCGTTGCTGAATAAAACGTACTAACAAATGGATTTTTTTCTCATTTGCCAACACACATCTTTTGGCAAATGCACTCTTGAGTGAATGTTATGATAGAGCGGTGTGGTTTAATGTCTTCTAAGCTCTCTGATTTAACAAAACCCCACTTGCATGCGTTTTTTCAGCCTGACTGCAGGTTAGATTTCTCTGCCAGTGGAAAAATAAACCAGCCACCCTCTGTCGTCTCTTATTAGCTGGTTCCAAAAATCTAATTTCCTAGTGCCTGGGCTCTGAGCTTATGTGTCTGAAACTGTATATTAATTGTGTTTTAATCTGTCAAAAAGTGAAAACTTGATGAAGTTGCCCAGCTAGTGATTAGAGCACATTTTTTTGCCACGATAAATGTTATTTCTTAAAAGTCTCTGAATGTTTCATGTTTTCATACATGGATTACTTTAATGGTTTATCCAACTAATGCCATTATTACATTTTTAAAATGGATGTGAACATATCCAGTTCGTGTTCAGATATGTATTACGATTACACTGTCTTTATATTAGACTGCTGCTCTACCTAATAAAGTGTAGAAAATCCCTTGTTGGCAAAAACGGCTATGTCCACCAAATCAATTACACTATTGTTCAAAAGTTTCAGGTCAGCAAGATGACAGTAAAGACATTTATAAAGTTACAGAAGGTTTATATTTCAAATGCTGTTTTTTAAACTTATAAAAAGAATCCTGAAAAAAGTATCAAGGTATCCAAAAAATACTATGCAGAACAACTGTTTTCAACATTGATAATAATGAATGTTTCTTGAGCATCAAATCAGCATATGCATAGCAATGATTTCTGAAGAATCGTGTGACACTGAAAACTACAGTAATGGCTGCTAAATTTGTAATCATATTTCACAATATAACAACTGTTTCTAAGTAAATGCAGCCTTGGTGAGCATAAGAGATTTCTTTGAAAAAAATCTTACTGAACTTTTGAACAATAGTGTATATTAACCATTTTTACATGCACATAATTTCCCTATTAAGGTATTCTGGTGAAGCCTTTATTTCCAAAAGAGGTCATATATGCTCCATAGGTATTGGAATATTCCTGTATGCATGTTAGTTTCCTACTTTTGACAACAGCACACAAGAGCACAATACATAACTAAATGTAGCCTTGAGGCTTTTCTCTATATCAATTTCCTTTTCACTCCAAAAAAATTCACTGAAAAGTTTGTACTTATGCAGGTATAAATGAGTGATTTGCTTACTTGTCAATAAATTCATATTAATGTTCAAGTAGCCAAAATATTAATAAAGGCTTTACATAGGCTTAATTGGGTAAATGCGTAATTTTAATTAATGGTTTTGATTATTCTTGTGCATGTAAATGCAGCCATGGGCACTTAGAAGAAGTGAATGTATGTGATTGCATGGGCTATTGTAACATTGTGCGCTGGGTTGTTTAGAAGTGATGTGTTGTTTACTTTCATTTCCCCCGAATTTCTCTCTTCTCCATCATGAACAGGAATGGGAAGTGGCGGCAGTGCAGGGAAGGAGGGGGGGCCTCTTAAAGCTCTTCTGAGGCAGCAGACCCAATCAGCACTGGAGCAGAGAGTAAGAAAAAGACACATTCACATGCATTTAAATAGTCACAATCAAGTTTATGCACAAAAGTGGAACTGGTGAATATGAGAATGATGTTTCATTGTCCACTCTGTCATTCTCTCACTGGATTTCAGGGGGTTTCATCATCCTCTGAAGCGTTTGTTAGAACAGGGGTATGTCTGGAGAGGGCATGCCGAATGTTTTCTGATCGTAGAATCTTTCATGTTTCCCAAACTCCTTCCTGTTTGAGAACTTTGAACTGGAAGACCCACATCTCTTCTACTGTCCTAATGACTTCATTATCAAACCAATGACACATCAGTATTGTGACTATTGGTTTGGGGGCCATGTGGTTATGCACCCATTTCCATGGAGAATATTCTAGAACCTTTGACAGGTGCTAGGAAACTCTCATGTCTACCTGTATGTCACAGTTTTGCTGTGAACTTGGTCCAGGGTTAAAATGTCTTGTATATAAAGAAATTAATGTAAATGAAGAGCCAGAGATCTTGAAGTCTGTGTCTTCATACTTATATGGTTGAGAAATAAACATGTACTGGTAACAATTTTGTTGAGGCTTTTAATCAGGACTTCATGCATATTTATTATGTATTTGCATTAGGGCTGCCCCCTAATAGTCGACTAACCATTAGTCGAACAGAAGAGGCTTGGTCGACCAAAAATTTTATTAGTCGCTTAGTCGCAGAAAAAAAAATCCACAGGCGAAGTCACGCAGTCCGTGATGGACAGATCGTTAACGGCGCTGGCCTATGGCAATGCAGTACATCGGGCAGGACATCCAAATGCTCAGCTATTGTTCTTCGACCTCAAATATGGCTTATCACCTGAAATATGTAAGTATTAGCAACTTTACACTGCCGCTTAATCTAATGTTAACCTAGAAAAATGTGCGCTATTGAAGTGTCTGTGCGGAGAGTGGAAGCTGAACAGTAGTGCATGATAGATGGAGGGCCAGTGCGGTCATTTGCTCTTAAATACTCTGTCATTTTTGGTCATACAGATAAGAATAATGCAGAGTTCACACTGCATGATTTTCAAAATCATCGGATCATCGTTGTTTTCACACTGCACAACTATCTGGGGTAGCATTCAGTTGCTGCTGTGTTCACATTGCACGATGGATCGGCGACAGGAGGTTACACACTGCATGACTGTTTCAGTCAGAACTCATTTCACACAGCAGGATTTTGAATCGCTGACATCTCCAGATATTTAGCATGCCAAATATTTCATGGCCGTCGGTGAAGCATCGGCGATTCTCTCAGATCGCGTCTTTGATAATTCACACTGTGATTGTCACTCGCGTGAACAAGCACCGATTTGCCTCCGATTTCGGGCATTTGTCTTCCTCCCCGAACAAACAATAACAAAGATGACTTCGTAACATAGCCTACTTCTGCTGGGAAAATTTTAAATACACAAATCTAAGTACTTGAAAGTTAAACCAACGTTTTGTGCATTTTATAATGAGCTTGTCTACAAAAGCCCTCAAAGTGATGAAAAAGAAAAATGCAATAAATCTTTTGTTTTTTATATAAGAATATGATTTACAGGAGAGAAAAAAAAACCTAGACCCCTTTTATGTATATTTATTGTATTTTTTTTTTCTTTTTTATTGTATATGTATATATATATATATATACATATAT